AAGATGAATAGTGTTTGAAAAGAGGTAAAATAGGTATTTTGAAAAAAAAATATCATCTCTTTAGCGTTTTCCGTCTTGGTCATTGACGGAAGGGAGGTATTTGTTGATTTTGTCAAAAATAGAGGGGAGGTTTTTGTTAAAATGAAACTATAGGGGAGGTTTTTGTATAACATTTTTAATAAAATAATTATAAAAAATAAATACAAAAGATTGAATTAATTACTTCTTACAATATAAAATAGGCATACATATAAAATATTTTTCAGAATAATAAAATATTAAATGGTTAATATTTTTAATATATTTATATGTCTGATAAAGTAGTAAGATATGGTACAGGTGTAAAGTCATCTATCTCTTATGAGATTATGAGCAAAAAAAGAATAAAATAAAGTGCATATACAATCTCTTAAGCTAAGTTGGCCCAAATATAAGTAATAATTATGCATGATAGTTAGATATGTCCTATAAAATTGTCTATTATCAATTTTATGGTTTATTACAATGAAAATATAATATTTCACACATCTATGAGTGCATTGAAAGATAAAAAGATGCACCACAAATTTAAAAGCTAATGGCATGTGTTATTAATAATGTAGGACCTAAAAATGTGGTATAGAATATAACATACAATGAAAGTAATTATTTAAAGGCATGCAAAAGAATAATGGATAAGTATAACATATTATAGACTCCATGTGTTACACATTGCATTAACTTAATGATAGAAGATATTGGAAAGAGAAAAATAACAAATACCACTATTGATGGTGTAAAAAAAGTAACAAATTTTTTCTACAACCATGGTATATTTCTTTATACGACAAGAAAACAATATAGAAGGGACATTGTTTAACCAAAGGTGACACGCTTTATTACAAACTTCTTTATTGTTGAGAGCATTAAAAATCATACGCAATGTCTAAAAAAATATTTAAATTTGAATAATTTGAAGAATATGGCCTAAGCTTGAAGGTACAAAAATTTAGAAAATAGTTTGTAATAATTCATTTTGAGATTTGATATATATTATGGTTTATATCTTGGAGCTTATGTATAGGGCTTTAAGAATGGTCAATGGTGATACATGACCAACCATGGAATTAGTGTATGAAGCCATAAAAGTAATAAAGAAGTCTATTATAATTGTTGTTCCAAAATCTAATTAGGTATGCTGAAAGGTCATAGATGAGAGATGGACAAAACAACTTAAACACACTCATCATAAAGTTGGTAAATATTATATTCCTATCATTCTATTTATTTATTTTTATGATACTATGATTTGGTGAATACCAAAGTTTACATTTTAAGTTATGCATGTTAGCTTATTTTATGAATTCAAAGTATCAATATAAATATGAACATGGGGATCAGGCTAATTTATTGATTTATATGACTAAAACTAAGTTCAAATGGACAAGTTTCTTGTATGATAAATGCAATACATGTAAATTGTGATGATTAAATATAAAAACATATATACTTATCATATTTTTAGGGTAAAAGACTTAAACCTCCCCTGAATTTTGTGATAAGTACTTACACCCCCTCTAATATTTTATTGGGCTTAAACCTCCCCCATTAAAACAACTTGCTGTTATATTTGACAAAATACATCAAAAGACACTTTCACCCTTGATAACTCTTTAAATTTTCAAATAAAACCATTAAAAGTACTATAAAGTCAAAAAAGAAATGGGATGTAATGGCTTGCGAAACTCTCCCTTCAATGAAGCAAGCTATCTAGGGCCTCCTTTAAATCCTACTTGATTTCCAAAAGGATCATCTTGAACTAGAAGGCATCTCACCTAAAAATAAACAATGTTGTACGTTCTACTTAATTATAAACAATACAAGAGTCTTGATTCTTAAATTTGTAGGTTTCAACACCTACCCATTGGGTTAATGGAGGAAGCTCCCGAGTCATTCAATGAAATGCCATCGGACTTTTAAAATTAAAAAGAAGTAAATCTTTGCAAATTATTTCTAAAAAAACTCATGAGTTATGAAGTAAATTGGCACCGCTTGGGTTATTTTAATTTGTTTGGCAAATATTCTGGGTTTTTTTCTAAAAATTAAAATTAGATAGTAATCATAAAATTGAAAAAACAAAAGATAGCACAAATACCATATGAAACTGTCGGACCACGATTGCGGGTTTCGAATTGGACTTAACCCCACTGAGATGGGTTTTACAACCAAGTATTACTACTGAAGTCCTAGGGAGCTCTAGTAAGAGGATCAGAAGGCATGTTTTGGAATAATTATGGGATTATACTATAATGGGTAAATTGTTGATCCAAATGCTAGAAATGACCCATTTTGGTAGTCATTTGTATCGCCTTCTTTGGGTCGTAAGGTGGGATGCAATAGGAAATGGAGGATTGATTATTAATTAATAGGGTCTATTCTATATCAAGAGCAACAAGGAGAAAGCTCTAGTACAGTTAATATATTGTCATAGAAAATTTGAAAAATACTGATGGATCTAAATGCCTTTTTATCCTATAATGGCAAATTTGAGGTGCCATGTGTCACCTAGTTGTTCCGAGGTGCCATGTGTTACAATATCATTGGAGGGCCAAATCCGCCCTCATCATTTGCCCCCCCCCCCCCCACTCTTGAGCCGAAAGTAACTCGACGAAAGGAGTAGATTGCTCATCTTGGCCTAAAATGACTAATTCAATGAGCTCGTAAGCGTCGATTCAATTCCTTAGGCTCTGTGAGTGACTCACAGTCCACTCTCCTTACCCTTGATTTTGCCCATGCCGAAGAGGCGACTGGGTCTTATGTGGAGCCGAAGTCTTTGCCAGTTTGGCACTTTAGCCCTTAGACTCTAGGAGCGACTCATAGTCCACTCTCCTTGATCTTTAATTTTGCCCATGCCGAAGAGGCGACTGGGTCTTATGTGGTACCGAAGTCTTTGCCTGTTCGGCACTTTAGCCCTTAAGCTCTGGGAGCGACTCATAGTCCACTCTCCTTGATCTTTGATTTTGCCCATGCCGAAGAGGCGACTNACTCATAGTCCACTCTCCTTGATCTTTGATTTTGCCCATGCCGAAGAGGCGACTAGGTCTTATGTGGTACCGAAGTCTTTGCCTGTTCGGCACTTTAGCCCTTAGGCTCTGGGAGCAACTCATAGTCCACTCTCCTTGATCTTTGATTTTGCCCATGCCGAAGAGGCGACTGGGTCTTATGTGGTGTCGAAGTCTTTGCCAATTTGACACTTTAGCCCTTAGGCTTTGGGAGCGACTCGTAGTCCACTCTCCTTAATCTTTGATTTTGCCCATGCCAAAGAAGCGGCTGGGTCTTATGTGGTGCCGAAGTCTTTTATTAGCTCGGCACCTTAAAGCTACGGCTGCGCTGCATCAGCCTCGTTATTGACGTTGGTTACCCACTCCTACAAGAATCTACTAGGAGCTCGACCTACGGGGGCAACACTACTGACTTTAGGTCACCAGCTCGCACGGGAGCCTTGGAAGGCTCGACCAACAAGGGCATCCATGCAATCTGTTGGCCGCCTACTCCCGCGGAAGCCACGAAGAACTCATCTTTGTAGAGGGTACCTCACGAAGAGGACTGATGAGGCTTTATCCAAGTTGAAATAAAGTTGGTAGAGCTACTTAGTCTTTGGCCATCAACTTCCTGCATAGTCTTTGAGTTCATAAAAAATGGAAACTAGAAAATGAGAGATTTTAGTTTCTAAAATGTGAGAACTTAGCTTTCTGGAAGAAGATGACTTAGCCTTTCGGAGGATGAGAAATTGGCTTTTTGTAGTGTTTCCCACAAACGACACCAATTGATGAATCAATTTTTTGGTGATGTATCAATTTTTTGTGCTAAGTATCTCGTCATTTGGTCTGAGCTGGGGGCAGATTAGGTGTCGAGTTAACTGGGCCGAGCTGGGCAGGTTAGGTGCCGAACTGACTGGGCCGAGCTAAGCAGGTTAGGTAACGAGCTGACTGGGGCCAAGCTAGGCAGGTTAGGTGACGAGCTGACCAGAGTGTCAAACTGCCTATTAGGTGCCGAGCAGACCAGAGTGTCGAAATGCCTATTAGGTGATGAGCTGACCAGAGGGCCGAGCAAACTATTAGGTGCCAAGCTGACCAGAGTGTCGAGCTACCTATTAGTTGCCGAGCTGACTGGAAGGCCAAGTTGCCTAGTGGCAAGCTGGATTGATTGTTGAGCTTCGTAATTCTTTAGAAACCTACGAATAACCAATGTTAGAGGGCACGGAGTGGCTAACCTGACGAGGTCGCTTCGATGCTTAAGTCAGTACTCTCATAATAGACTGCTAGCTAAAAATCACGAAATATGAGAGCTAGAATATGCTTACAATACCCCCCCCCCCAATGCCATTGGGGTTGGTGCCTTTATATAGGCATTGTTTGGCGTGGGCTTCACGCACCATATCCGAGATTTCTGAAAAATCGTCTAAGTGGTCCAAGATTCCTTAAGGTAACCGCTATGCACATTGACCACCCTCCGAATCGTTCAGCACGTGGACCAACTTCCAAGGATTGTGGAAGTGTTTGGATATGCATGTCGAATTTGTCGCCGAGCATGTCTCGCAGGTCGCCAGGTCAACGCCTGTGCCAGGCCGTCAGGTCGCGCTAGGGCTAGGCCACCAGTTCATGCTAGAGCCAAGCCGCCAGGTCGCGCCAGTGCCAGACTGCTAGCTCGCGCCTATGCCAGGCCACCAATTCGCGCCAAGGCCAAGTCGCACCAAAGCTAGGCCGCTAGTCCACACCAGGACGAAGCCGCCAAGTCACGCTTGTGCCAGGCTGCCAGTTCGCACCTGAGCCAAGTCACGCCAGGGCCAAGCCGCTAGGTTCCACCATCAACTTGGCTAAGGCAAATTGTTGCCAAAATGGTTTCTGATGTCACCTAATTGTTCCGAAATGCCATGTGTCACAATATCATTGGAGGGGCAAATCCGCCCTAATCAACTATCTTGAAAACGTTAAGACACTAACCAAGGAACTCCAGCCATATCCAAAAACCTAAACAAGTCGCATCACAAAAATTACACTCTGGTGATAGATGTTTAAACTATTTATGGAGTATGCACCTTTCCACACTCAAATGAAGAAACAAAATGGTTGGAACTGAAGAGCTGAATTGGAGCAATCGATCATAAATCTAATTCAATGAATGCAACTCCAATCCAATGAAAGCCTAATGTAGTGGAGGTGGAGGTTGGGTACACCAATAAAAATCCCAATAATCCTTCTGGGGTTTGTTTGTACAGGATCAAAATGGATGAACTCTCTCTCTCTCTCTCTCTCTTGATATACCTCCGCCAGACATCAAATTTGAACTACTTCGTCGCCCTTCTCTCCCCCCTCCTCTGAGGAGACAAAATTGGGTACGCTGCAGGTTCTCTCAAACAGGAGAGGAATACACATACCATCTCCCCCCAAGCCTCCTCATCTGTTACAGGAGACAGAGTCGATCAAAGATTTTTGGAAGGAGACTACAAGAAAGCTGCACTCCAGAGCAGAACCCCTATGATCAAAGTGATTGCGGCAGAGCCAACATGGAAATTTGAGGAGCACCCAGAGGCCGTAGAGTTCGAAGAAGGAGCAAGTGACGTGCCGTTAATGAAAGTGCCGTTTCCACCACTACGCAAGAGAAAGCACACAAGTAAGAAGCATTCAGAAAAACAATTCATGTGAGGGGAAGATTTTTACCCATAGCCATCTACTATTCATCTTTCTCGTATTTAACATACTAAGACTAGAAAATATGAGACAATGGATTTGAAGAGATCTGATCGGAAAAAACATTATACAAAAATTATCTTTCGAGGGCAAGATTGCATGCAACAGACTTAAAGGGGGAATGTATTGAGAATTGATTGTTTGAATAAGATCAACAATGAAACTATTGAATTAAGCAAATTGGTTATTGAGAGAAATCAGTATGCAACTAATTTCCCCATCTCACATGCTTCGAAGGGTGATATGATTAGGTTACCAAAAGAAAAAAGGTGATATGATTAGACAAGGTGAAGGATTCTGAATTTTAATATTGTTGCCCACTGGAGGATGAGATTTTCAATTTTACCAGGTTTATATATATATATATATATATTACAAAATCAACTTGGGGCAAACAAGGCATGGGCTGGCTACCTGCACTTATAATTTGTCGTTTTATCTGATGAAACAGGTTATACCAAGTTACTCTGTTTGGAATAAGATGTGCAATAATTCTACAATCAGTTTTATGTTCATCTAGCCATTGGTAAAAACATCTTTAGTTGGAGAAGTAGTGGTTAGCAAGTAATTAGTTATATCCTTACCTTCCATGAAACTTGCAGGAACCATGACCTGCATCAAAGAAAGAAATTATCAGTAACCCCAAAAAATAATCCATCTAGTTCAAGAAAAATGACAAGTGCACGTCATGGTTCTTTACTTGGGTCTGATGTAGTGACAGAAGCCACCCCATTGAAGTAACAAGTCCCAGAAGCCATCCCCATCTGATGATAGTAAGTATTAAAAGCATATGTAGCATGAGCATTAACTGTGTCAGGCTCGTAGCATGGCTGTCCCTGCAATAAAGGTGAGCAATCCACTTTTCCAGGGCCACATGCCCAATCCAAAGCAGCCTGCAGCATCTTTTCGTCAGCACCATCCCTAGCTACACAATATGTCTGGTTTGTTGTGTCATTTGCCAATACCATTCCAGAATCTGTCAGGTGTAGAATATAAATTGGTACACCATTAGCATCAAACAGCCCCCAGTTCTTTTCTGAGAGTGACCCAGGTCTCATATCCTCGTTGTAGAGTTCATAGATGTAGGTACTAACAGCAATCCCAGGATGCTTGGGTGTCCCAGTGTTGTTAAGCACATGCCTGATCAAATTGCTGTTATATGTGTTGGCATTGTCAAGAGTGGCATCTGGCTCATTCTTGTCACCCTTGGAAGGCCATCCTGACTCAGTCACTACAATAGGAACATTTGTAAAGTTTAGGTAGGCCATGGCAAAGTAGGCTGCATCTACTACAGCGTCAAAGACATTGGTGTAGTGGAGGAGTGTATTTGCATCCACAGCTTCTTTGTTTGGAGGGAGGGGGCGGAAAAGTGCATAGTCCAATGGGATAACTCCATTTGATTGCATGTAGTCATAATAAGGGTATGAATTGAGCATGAAGTATGATCCTGAGGACTGCAAGAACTTGAGCATGGGGACCATGACATTGTCCCAGGAGCGGTTGAAGAACGCCTGTGAAGGAGGAAAAGAGTCAAGGATGAAGGAGGATGAGTGTGGTGTAGACACTTTAATCTGATCGTCAAGATTGGAGGCAACCAGGGCTGAGTGGATGAACTTCATGGCAGATACAAGCACAGGAGCAGCATTTGGAAGGGTTGTAAGGACCTCAGATCCAACTGCAATGGCAGTGATGTTTGTGGCTGGGACATGTGCCACAACATTGCGGGCAACCCAATTGGCAGCGGTAGCATTGGACTGGCCCACACCAAGGAGCTCTTCATTTGGGACAGAGACAGTGACTTGAATACCAGTGTTGGCAAGAGCAAGGAGCATGGCCCGGTCAGCATCATACAGCCTTACATGTCGAATCTGTTGTGCCTTGAGGAGGGCCACCACCTGAGTTGGGTTTGGCATGTCAGAGAGCGCCGTGCCAATGTTGACACCAATAAATGCATCTGAAAGACAAGACAGAAAAACACAGGATGCAAAAGTTCAGAGATACAATAATGGTCAGACTGGGTCACCATGGAAGCACAGGTATTGCTTGTTAGTTGTTGCATAATAAGCAAGCACCACCACATTTTCATGTCATTCAAACATAACCCCCCCCCCCACACACACACACACACATTCATGTCAAGTTGAAACTCTCGTGATGCTACATTTATGCACCATCTCCATCTCTCTCAATGTCTACTAAATGACAAATACCACAGATAAATTTAAATGTTTGATTCTTACTATTCACAATTTGGATTGTTCTTCCTTCTTAACTTTTACCCACTTACTGAGGGAAGAAACTAGACAAAAGGCCTTCAGGGAAGGTCATAAGCCTTTGGAAGCATTTCACCTTGCCATACATGAAATCACAAGAAAAGGAACAAGCATATACAATACAAAGTGAACATTATTGTTCTTCCGACCAATGCAGTCAGCCCTGGCAGAGAGATACACTAAAAGGAGGTTCCTAAGTACTGATAGAATAGACCAAAAGGACAGTCAAGCCTCATCACCTCACACAGAGTATTTGGACATGCCTATGGACCCCATGACAAAGATGGGTTCTTGGAATAAATGGTGATCACCAGTTGGTCGCATTTAAGATGTTAGCCCAGAGATTAATGCCTTGAAGGCACCAACACC